ATGTTACCCCTCTTGTATATGAAATGTTCATATATGTATGAATCTGTTTCTGGATTTTTATTCAGTTACATTTGTCTGTTGTCTCTCTACACACTAACTTAATTATAGTTTTATAGTAAGTTTTGCTACCTAGTAGAGCTGATCCTACCACTTTTTCTGCTTCAAGAGCATCTTGAATATTTTTGGTCCTTTGCATTTCATATGAATTTTAGAATCATTTTATCAGGTTCCATGGGAAAACCTATATGGGGTTTCATTCGAATTGATTGTATGTTATCAGTTTGAGAAAAATTGGTATCTTTTTAAGTCTTCCAAATCATGAAAATGGTATAACTCTCCATTAATTTAGATCTTTCTTTAGTGTCTTTCATGGCAATTTTATCTTTAGAGGTCTTGTGTGTCCTTTGTTACATGTATCCTAGGTATCTTATGATATTTGATGCTATCGTAAATGGTATTTTTTAGAAGTTAATTTTCTGACATTTTGTTGCTAGTTTGTAAAAATGTAATTGATTTTTATATATTGACTATTCTAATTTATATCCCGATCCTTTTGGATTTTCTTTGATATATTGTTTGTGAGCAGTGATAATTTTGTCAGTTCTCATACCTCATGTATTTTTCTTGCCTTATTGCATTGGCTAGGATTGCCAATACAGTGTTGAAAGTAGAGTGTGAAAGTGGGTATCCTTTTTTGTTCCCTGTCTCACAGAGAAAGCTTTTTTCTGTAGGTATCATTCATCAGATTAAATTTCTTTCTATTCCTATATTTAAGCATTTTTTTCTTGTAAATATCACAGATGCATGTTGAATTTCATCTCAAGTATTTTCTGCATCCATTGAGATGACCATTCAGTGTTCTCCTTTAATTTGTTACTGTAGTGAATTGCATTGGTTAGTTTTTCTTAGGGTAAACCAACCGTGCACTTCTGGAATGATTTTTTTGTATTGCTAGATTTGTTAATGTTTTGTTTTGAATTGTACCAGCATGTGAGTGACACTAGTTAGTGATTTTCCTCTCTTACACTGTCCTTGTTAGGTTTTGTTAACTAGATTATACTAGCCTCAAAAAACAAGGACAGTTTCTGTAAGATTGGTTATTCCTTGGTCAGCTGTATCTGGAGTTTGGTGTATATATGTGAGGGGAGGTTTTTTAACTGAATTTTTTTAAAAAAATGGTTATACTATTATTCAGGCTCTTCTAATTTTTGAGTCAGTTTTAAGTCATATTTTTCTAGAGTTTGTCTCAGTTTTTCAAAGGTATTGTCACACAGTTGTTATAATATCCCTAAAATACCTTTAGCATCTGTATCTATGTCCTCTTTTCATTGCAAGTATTGTTTTTTGGGTTCATCCATTTTCTCCTTCCTTCTGTTTTCCTTATCAGTAAAGTTTGTCAGTTTTATTTTTTCTAAGAATCAACCTCAACTACCTTGGTCCTTTCTATTATGTTTGTTTTCTCATTCACTAATTTCTAATCATTATTTCCTTACTTTCCTTTCTTTGAGTTTATCCTAACATTCATTTCCCTACTCAAATTGGATGTTTAGCTCATTATTTTTTGGCCTTTTTCTTTTAGAACATGAGCTTTCAAGGCTATAAATTTCCCTCTAAGTACAGCTTTATTTGTATCCTGTAAGTTTAGATATATAATATTTTAAGTTTTAATTGTATTTTCTGGTTTTTGTTTTCTTTTTTGATCCATAAGTTTTTTTAAAAGTGTATTTCTTAATGTTCAAACATGGTTATTTTTTCTAATTTTCTTTTTGTTACTGATTTTTAACTATCTTTGTTGTCATCTGAGAATGTGGCCTATATATACCAGTCCTTTGAAATTTGCTGAGGCTTTACGACTGGCCTAAGTGTGTGGCTAATATTCATAAATTTTCTGTGCATTTCAAAAATACGTATTTTGCTGTTATGTATAATTCCCTGTATGTGCCTATTACAACAAGTTTACTTTTGATTCTTTTTTGGGGGGGGTAGGTAATTAAGTTTATTTATCTTAAATGGAGGTACTGGGGGTTGAACCCAGGACCTCATGCATGGTAAGTGTGCACTCTACCAGTAAGCTATACCCTCTCCTCCTATTACACCAAGTTTGTGTTGTTTGAACCCTTGCTGATAGTGTTTGAGCTCTCATTACTGGGAGAGATATGTTAAAATCTTCCATTACGATTGTGTATTTATCTATTTCTCCTTGTGGTTGTGTCCATTTTACTTTATTTTCAGATGTTATTAGACGCATATGAGTTTTAGAACTTCATGAATTTTACTTTTCATCATTATAAAGTGTTTTTTTAAATCTCTTGAAGTTGACATCTAGTAATATTTTTTGCCTCATAATCTGTCTTGTCTGTATAGTTATGTTTTAGGTGTTTTCTTATAAATAGCATATAACTGGATTTTTTAAAAAATATTTTTCATTCTTACTCAAAGCATTTAACTTAAACTTTGTGTAATTATTGATGCATTGGTTATTGACTTATTTCCATCTTCCTACTTTGTAATTTTTATTCCACCTTATCTGCATTCCTTTTTCCTTTCCTGCTTTCTTTTAGATTGACTGAAAATTTCTCCCCGCATACAGTGTTTTTCCTCTGTTCTGGAAGTTTAGTATTCTCATTCCTCCATATATTTTACATAATCCTTAACTCATCAAAGTCTAACTCCACAAACCACTTAGTATTGTTTCAATAAATTTTTGTTAGTCTTCATTTTCCTTTCATTCCTGAACGATATTTTCATTGGGAATACTAACAGTTTCTCCTCTACTTTGGAGATATTTTATTGTCTTCTAACTTTCTCTGGAGGTCAGAAGACAGTGAATTCCCAGTCTAATCAATGCTCTCTCAAGGTACCCCTCTGCAAATTTGGTTCCTTGTAAGATTTTGTGGTTTTTAAAGGTCTTGCATTTTCACTATATTGTATTTAGCTGTAGATATCTTTTTATTTACCTTTACTAGGATTTGTTGCGATTGAGTCTGTATACTGGTATTTCTTGTCAAAAAGCTAATTTTTTAGTCATTAACTCTTCAAAGATTGCTTGTGCTCCATTTTCACTAGATACACTTGGCATCTTCTTACTTCATCCTCATCTCTTCTCTTTTATATTTTTCACCTCTGTGTGTCTGTGTTGCTTTCTGGATACTTAACACAGATCTCACTTCCATGCCTCTAATACTCTCCTCGTTGTATAATCTGATATTCATTATTTTTAGTGATTTTTTTTCAATTTCTGCAAGTTCTTTAGTATTTTTTTAATGCTTTTTACTCATTTGCAAGCCACTCTTCTGTTTCTAGATATATATTAAATGTACTTATTTTACACTGTGTCTGCCAATTTCTCTGTATCAAGGGGTTTTATGTTATGCATGATTCTGATGTAATTTCTGTTGGCCATTGTTTATGGGCCAATTTGTTGTGTTTCCTTGTATCTCTGGAGATACTATACTGTGAGCTGCTGGTTTTCCTGGCAGCTTCACATCTGAGGTTCTGTAAGGCCTGGAGTGAAGGGGAGAGCCTCCAGAGAGGATCTGTTTGTTTCTCTCATGTGACTGGGGACAGACGTTGCCAATTTGGGACCAAGCTATATTCTCTACTAGAGCTTTTATTGGACCACCCTGATAATATGTATTTGGGCTGTGAAATCAAATGAGGGTCTGCTTCTGATTACAAATTCTTAGTTTTCTTTTTTTCTGCTCTGCTTAGGACTAACCTTTAAGACAAGCAATTTTCCTTGTATTCGATTATTGATTCACCATTGTATTGAAGGTATAGCCCTTGGGGGCCCAGCTTTAGGGAGGACATGTACTGATGCCCTACATCAGGCAGGCCATTTGAGGCTATGAAAACTTAGTTAGGCTCAGTGGGCTCAGTAAATGGCTATGAGAAGCAGACTTCGGGACTTGTATCTCCCCTGGTTTCCACATCCACTTAATTTTTGGCCTAAGTATTCCTTATATTCATTCCAGCTCATGGATGCATTTAAAGTATTTTAAAATTTTTATCCAGCATGTCTAGTTTTCCACAAAGGATGATAATCCAGGCACCTAGTCTACCATTGCCAGAAAAAGAAACCCCTCTTGAACTGGCTGGTAAAATGAATGATTTACAACTAAAAGCTTCCCAACTTTGACCCATTCTGGCATTTCTCTGTAAACCGAACTTGGGCATGGGTTTACCAGTGTGAGGTATCAGCTTTTTGTATATGGCTGGATTCTATTTGCTGTTGTCATATTTGGATATATGGAAGTTCTGTTCTTATATTCCATTCCCTCCCTTGGCAGATCCCCTCTCCACTGCCTCATGGGTCAGGGCCATCCTGGGGGTGCCCCCCTGCCCTTCTCTCCAGTGAGAGCTGCCCCCCAGCACCTCTGCCAGGACTCACCGGTGTCTGCCTGCCTCCCCACAGATGGGAAAGCAAGCACCTGGAAAGGAAGGAGTTTTGCGGAGCCAACCTTGGATCCCACAGCACTGGGGTGTCAGGATCGATGGTTAGAGCCTGGCTCTGATGCCCCTATGGTGCCTGCCCCGCTTCATCCTCTCTCCTGGAAGTGCTGGCACTGGGAGGAGGACCTACTGGGCCAGACCAGCCACCCTTGGCTGGGTCCTAGGAGCTACTGACCCAAGTTGCTTGGCAACCTGGGGCAACAGAAGTGGCCCAGGTCACAGTTGTTGGGCAACCCTAGAACTCACCAGGGCCAGTGTTCCCTGTGGAGGGTGGTGAGGGCCTTGGCTTGGCCCCAGGCCAAACTGTGACCCTCTGCTAGGTCCTGACTCAGCCTTTGGCAGCCTTCCTGGCCCATACCCTGTCCCACCATATCTTCCACCCCCACCCCTCCCCATCCAGACCAACCTCCCACTGCTGGCTTCTGGCACTGAGCAGAATAAAGCCCCACACTCCTCCCCCATGCCACCTGTGGGCTGTCATCTGCTCCCCTGTGTCAGCCCTGCTCCACCCAGTTACAGACAGGCTCAGGGACAGGGCCGTGGAAAACTCCAAATCCAAGGTTTTTTATTACTGGTCAGAAGGTGCTCACTCACAAACAGTGCTGAGAAGAGGAACATTGAACAGCTCTGCCGCCCGCCCACCTGCCCTCTCTCCAGTGGGCACCCTAAGGCATTTCACACATTGGTGTTTTCACTTTTGTTTTTTTATAAAAACAAAGCCAGTTCTGGAGTAGAAAGTAAAACCCTGTGATGGATTTTTCAGGACCAAACAAAAGTGGGAAAGGTTGGAGTGTGGGTCCTGAGGGGCTGGGACAGTGGCCCAGTCCCCCCCCCCCCCACAGGTGGCAGAAGCCATTGGAAGGGGGTCCAAGGAGAGGGCAGGGCACAGCTGATGGGGCCAAACTCAGACAGGAGTGCCCTGTCTTCATCATTTTTGCACTTCTATATACCATACAAATTTAAGCAAAATAGCTATTTTATATATATTTATATATCATAGATATAAATCAGGCAAATAAAGAGTTCAGGGGGTACTGAGATGGGGCACCCCAGAGGCGGGATGCTGAGTCTCTGGTGCCCAGGACACCAGCCCAGGCTGAGCTGAGGATTGGTTCTTATTGCTGATTTGGGGCATGGTTCTGGGGCAGGAGCACCTGCAGGCTGGGCCCCTGGCCCTTCCTGGCCTTTTTGGGGCTGGGGAGCAGCCCCAGCACGGCCAAGGCTAGGCAGGGGCTGTTGCCCTCAAATCCACATGGCGGCTGGGGCTGTAGCTCCAGAGACAACTGACTTGTGCTCTCCTGGGCCAGGGCAGCCCCTTGGTTCCCTTTTCTGGGGGGTCCTGGGCTCCTGGAGGGTGGGCAGCTCAGATACAAAGGGCTTTGCTATTTGAGCTACAAAATGCTCCCAACTCAGAGGGGTCTGTCTGGCTTCCTGATGTCTTAAAAAGAAGGGGCTCTTGCCAGGACACTTTTGTGGCAAGAAAGCACACTTAGAAAGTTTTCCACTAAGTGCTGTACTAAAAATATTTACTAAACATCTTGGCTGGAAAGAAATGGAGATCATTTTTTCTAAAAAAGTCAAAAGCAGCTCCCTGGGAGGGACGAGTTCCTCCCTGGGTGGGGCTGGTGACCAGGGCGGGGGCCAGCCTGCCTGAGTTGTGGAAACTGGAATTGTGGTAACTGGAGCAGTGGTTCCGATGGGGCCCGAGTCTATAGTGAAGGGGTGTGGGAGACCCGGGGCACCTGGGGGCTGGAGAGAACCCGGGTCAGCATTTCCTCCTTACAAGGCAGGAGCCCCAAAAATGTGTTATTTAAAAAAAGGAGAAGAAAAAGGTGGAGTGGGAGGGCGGGTGAGTACTAAATTGAGTGCATTAAATAAAAGGTGGACTAGGCTGTGCAGGCGCCTGTATTTGCAGGAGGGGGCGCTCAGAAGATGTTGGGGCACATGTGCCAGTCCTGCTTCTCCTTAGCCTCCCAGTAGCCGCCCTTGTACATGCAGGCCGTCTCCCCGGTCAGCGGGTCCAGCCTCTTCTCGAACCACAGCGGCATGTACACTTCGGCCTCCTTCTCTGCTGGAGGAACGCGGGCTAGTGGGCGGAGGGCCTGCCTCCTCCCAGCGCCCCAGAAATCCACACCCTGTCCCCTCTCCCGCTGGCACGCCTCCCTGCCCCCAGGCAGGGCACCCCTTCCCAGTCCCTAGGAGACCCTTGTCCCCACTCTCACTGGTCCCACTCCTCGCTCCTGGGGTCCCCCCATCCCCGCCTCACCTTCCTCCGCGCCACAGCCCCGCGCGCAGGCCTCCAGCCGCCGGCGCCGGTTTAGGCGCTGCTTCTCCTCCAGCCGCTGCTTCTCCGTGTTGGCCTCGTCCCAGTGGCCCTTCTCCATCAGCCGCTGGTCCGGCCGCAGGCGGCTGTCAGTGGGCGCCACGCCCTCCTCGTGCTCGTTGAGGGTCAGGGCCAGCTCCGAGAAGTAGTACATGTTCTCTGCGTTCTCCCTGCGGTGGCCCCGCTGCGTGAGGTCCAGCCGCCCTCCGTCCCTCCCCATCCCGTGTGTCCCTCCACCCCTGCAGACCGGCTGGGGCGCCCACGTCGCCCCTTCCTCCCCGCGCCTAACAGTCTCGCTCCACCGACCTGCATCTGTTTTGTTACTCCTGTCTGTTTTGTCATACTCTTCTGGGAATTTGCCACTTTCGTCCAATTTTTCATATTTATCAGCCAGAAGTGTCTCATAATGTCATTATTGTTGCTTTAATGTGTGACAGCAGCGTCCTTTTCGCGTCTGTGATGTTGGTCTTAATGCGCCTTCTCTACTCACTCATAGCAGAGAAAGTTTGTCCGTTTCCTTCATTGGCTGAAGATGAAGCTTTGCTGATCCTATTTTAGATTTTTCTGCACTATTGATTTTGCTTGTATAGTCTTCCTTTTACTTTGTTGGACTTTCTTTTGCTGCTCCTTTTCTAACTTCTTGGGGTATATGCTTAGCTCCATATTTCTCTGTGTTTCTTTTCTAATACGTGCATTTCAAGGCTACAGATTTCACTCCAACTACTGGATCCCACTGTTTTTGATGTGTATTATTTTCATTATCATGCAGTTATATTTTCCAATTTTCATTATACCTTCTTTGTCCTATGGATTGGTTAGAGGTATATTTCTTAAGTTTAAAAATACATGAAGATTTTTCTCATCTTTATTTCCAGCATAATTGCCTTGAAGGCACAGTATACTTGGTGTAATTTCAGTTCTTTGAAACTTGCTTTATGGCCCAGTACATGGTCAGTTTCTGAAAATGTTCCACATGTAATCAAAGAGCCTGCGTATTCTACAGTTGTTGAGTGTCCTGAAGGTTCTATTGTTCAAACTTGTCCTTTTTTTTTTCTCTGTTCTCCATTATTAAAAGAAGTATATTAATGGGGAAGGTATATAGCTCAAGTGGTAGAGTGCATGCTCATCATGCATGAGGTCCTAGGTTCAATCCCCAGTACCTCCTCTAAAAAAATAAGTAAGTAAACCTAATTACTTCTCCCCCACAAAAAGAGGTATACTAAAATCTCCCACTTTGGTTGTAAACTAGTCCATTTTTCCTTATATTTCCATCAACTTTGCTGTATATATTTTGAGTAATTAGATACAGGGTATATTCAAACTGAAAACATCTTCCTGGTGAACTGAACCTTTATCATTGTGTCCCTCTTTGGTCTTTTTGTTTTAAAGTCTGTGTTGTGATATCACTACAGCTGCAGGCAGCTTTTGCTTGGTTAATTTTTCTATGTATACATTTCTTCTTCCATCCTTTTATTCCAATCTTTATTTCCTTATTTAGATGTGTTTCTTGTAAACCACATATAGTTGGATTTAAAAAACTTTGAAAGCTTATAATGGGAACACTTAATGTAATTCCTGATATGTTGGATTTAAATCTACTAGCTTATTTTTTTTTTCTTTTCATATTGTCGCTTTTTTGGACCTCAGGTGCACAGTTTTGGATTAGTCATACTACTTGGTACATTGGTCTTGGCATGGCCTGCTTATATTAATGCAACCTTGGCACCTGAACAAAAGATAGAATCCTGACAAAACCTACATCTAACCATATGGAAAACTCATCATCCATCCCCTACTCAGGTTCATCAGTCCTTTGCTTTCTGTTTAATACAGTTTTGTCACATCTTTAAGTAGTCTTAAGTGCGTGTGTATTAATATACATATATTTTATGTTTTTAACTGTATAAAAAGAAAATCATGATCTATGTAACTTTGTAGGAGTTGCTTTTTAAAACAATTTTATATTGCTAAAATTGACCTATATTTCATCTTGCTGTGGTTCATTTGTTTTCAACTACAGTAAATATTGTCTTGTGTGAATATACTGCAATTATTCATCCAATAAATTTGGGTTGTTTCCAAGTTTTTGCTTTGGGGCAATCTGACACATGTTTCCTGTTGTGCATTTTTAGGAACTTCTCATGAGCCCACACCTCGCCACAGAGTATGTGCTGTTCTTTAGGAGCAGAGGTCACACTGCTTTCCAGTGATGTATAAGAGATACTGTGGATCTACGTCTTCATCAAACTTGACAGTACCAGACTTCATTTTTTCGAATCAAATGAAGGTAAAACTGGATCTCATTGTGGTTTTGATTTGTATTTCCCCGAGTACTGATGATGCTGATCATTGCCATCTGATGACTGGCCGTATGCGTTTCTTCTTCTGTGAAATTCTTGTTCATGACTCTTGCACATTTCCCACTGGATTGTTTTGCTTTATTCATTAGAAGTCTTTATTCTTTTTTAATTATTATTTTTAGTTGGGGTAGAATACTTCTTATGTATTTCTTAAGTATATTTTTATTGAAGTATAGTCAGTTTACAATGTTGTGTCAATTTCTGGTGTACAGCGTAATACTTCAGTCACATAGGAACATACATATATTCGTTTTCATATTCTTTTTCACCATAAGTTACTGCAAGATATTGAATATAGTTCCGTGTGCTATATAGTATAAACTTGTTGTTTATCTATTTTATATATATTAGTTAGTATCTGCAAATCTAAAACTCCCAGTTTATCCCTTCCCTCGCCTTTCCAACCTGGTAACCCTAAGTTTGTTTTCTATGTCTGTGAGTCTGTTTCTGTTTTGTAAATAAGTTAATTTCTTCCTTTCTTCCTTTCTAAATTCCACATACAAGTGATATCATATTATATTTTTCTCTTTCTGGCTTACTTCACCTAGAATGACACTCTCCAGGTCCATCCATGTTGCTGCAAATGGCAGTATTTTATTATTTTTTATGGCTGAGTAGTATTCCATTGTATAAATATATCACAGCTTCTTTATCCAGTCATGTTGATGGATATGTAGGTTGTTTCTATGTCTTGGTTGTTGTAAACAGTGCTGCTATGAACATTGGGGTGCATGTGTCTTTTTGAATTAAGGTTCAAATTAAGGTCCTGGATATATGCCCAGGAGTAGGATTGCTGGATCATATGGTAAGTCTATTTTTAGTTTTTTAAGGAATCTTCATACTGTTTTTCATAATGGCTGCATTAAACTACATTCCCACAGTGTAGGAGGGTTCCATTTTCTCCACACCCTCTCCAGCATTTATTGTTCGTGAACTTTTGAATGATGGCCATTCTGACTGGTGTGAGGTGATACCTCATACTTTTGATTTGCATTTCTCTGATAATTAGCAATATTGAGCATTTTTTCATGTGCCTATTGGCCATTTGTATGTCTTCACTGGAGAAATGCTTGCTTACTTCTGCCCATTTTTGGATTGGGTTGTTTGTTTTTTCTTATTAAGTTGTATAAGCTGTCTATATATTCTGGAGATTATGTCCTTGCCAGTCTCATCTTTTGCAAGTATTTTCTCCCATTCTGAAGGTTGTCTTTTTCTTTTGCTTATGGTTTCCTTTGCTGTGCAAAAGCTTATAAGCTTAATTAGGTCCCTTTTGTTTATTTTTGCTTTTATTTCTATTGCTTGGGTAGAGTGCCCTAGGAAAGCATTGCTGAGATTTATGTCAGATAATGTTTTTGCCTGTGTTTTCTTCTAAGAGGTTTATAGTGTCTTGTCTTATGTTTAAGTCTTTAAGCCATTTTGAGTTTATTTTTGTGTATGGTGTAGGGAGTACATGATTTACATCTTTTTTTTTGATTTACATCTTTTTATGTAAAAGATAATCTTTTATTTTACATCTTTATTCTTAATATACTAATCCTTTGTCAGGTGTAAATATCATGATTACCCTCTCTAAATTTATATATTGTCTTTTTGCTTTCTCTAAATTGTCTTTTAATAAGCAAAATTTCTTTTAATGAACGAAAGTATTTTAATTGAACTGCATCAGGTTTTTTTCCATTATTTAAGAGATATTTGCTTAAGTTCTAAAAGATACTGTGTTTTCTACTTAGAGTTTAACTCACTGTCTAAGAGCTAGTCAAATCTAGTACTTATTGTAAGACCTTTATTTGGAGTTGATTTTTGTGATAATGTAAGAGAGAGATTCACGTAGTCTTTTTCTGTGTGGATAACCATTTCCCCCAGATCCTTTTAGTGATGGTGCCATTTATCCATGTGATCTGATATGCTACCTTTGTTATATACCAAAGATACATGCATATCCAGGGGCTGTTTTTGGGCTCACTGTTCTGTTTCACTGTAGCTTCAAAGTAAGTCCTCTTTTTTTCTGTTCTTCTTTAGAAATATCCTGGCCCTTTATTCTTCAATATAAATGTAAAAAATCATAATATCAGGTTCCATGAAAATCACTATTGGGGTTTTATTTGATTTACTGACTCTTTAGATCATGACATTTTTATAATACTCATTCTACCCATGAACATGGTATCTTTCTCCATTCATTTAGCTCTTCCTTGATATCTCAGCAAAGTGTTATATGCAAGACCTCTACAGAGAAAATTTATTATAAGGTCCTTTATATTTGCTGATATGATAACTGGTGTCTTCTCTGAAACTGTGTTTTCTCATTGTTTTAGTGTGTATAAACGCAACAGACTTTTACATATTAATCTTACGTTGAGGCACCCAAAATGCATTTTCTGAATCTGTTCAGATCTGTTAAAGTGATGAGTTAATTTATGAATTTTCTAGTATAAGATCATCTTTATATACCCAGGATATACTCAACATGATTGAAGAACGTTGTTTTTCTTATACTGTTGGATTTTCTGATGTCTTGTTTTGGAATTTTGCTCACATATTCATGAGTGAAAGAGCGTATGTGGAACTTTTATTTTCCTACTACTCTGTTAGCCTGGTTTGGTGTCAGGTATCTTATACTGGTTTCACAGGATAAGAGAGGAAAGTATTTCTTCTTTTTCTGTGGTCTGAAAGATTTTATATAAAATTGGGATAATATATCTTAAAAATTTGGTAGAATTCACCTATAAAATTATCTGGGCTTTTGTTTTCCCTGTGGGAATTTTTAAACTAATGCTTCAGTTTCTTTATTATAGGACTATTCATGCTTTTTTTCCTTCAAGACTCATTTCTTTTAAGTTATAAAATTTTAATGATATCTTTATACTTTAAATGTCATATGAAACTTTTATTAATATTTATGTCTATATTTTCTCTTGATCAGTCTTGCTAGTAGTTTTCTTTTTTTTTCCCCTCAAAGAATCAACTTCTGGCTTTTTTAACTTCTTACTTTACTTCTTTCTATTTTACTAATCCCTGCTTTTATTTTTAAGGTGTATTTTCTTCATTCTTTCAGTTTCTGTGTTGAACTTTCTCTCATTTCTTAGAATGGAAACTCAAAAAAGAAAAAGCCTTGTAAGTTTTTATACCTATTTAAGGCAGTACATTTCCTTTGAAGCATTGCCTTTAGTACATCCAGCCAGTTTTGATATCTTTTTTTCTTCTCATTCAGTTCTAGGCATTTTAAAATTTCCATTCTAATTTATTATTTTACCCATGAGTTATTTAGCAACTGAAAAAAATTTCCAAATATGTGGGGACTTTTTGACATCTTGTTCATAACTTCTAACTTAATTATCTTATAGATTTCACTTGTTGAGCCTTTCTTTAGAGTTTAGTACATAATTTTTGTGTAAATTCCATGTGTACTTGAGTAAAAAGCATGTTCTCTGATTGTTGCAACCATAAGTATATGTATATCCTGTGTTGTTTTTTTCCTGTTTGACTCAACAAGAGACGGGGTGAACTGAAATCTCTCAGTCTCCCACTGTGGTGATAGATTTATCCATTTCTCCCTTTCCTATCAATAGGTGCTGTGTATTTTTGAGGCTACCTGCATAATGTCTAACAACATTATGCCTTCTCAAAGAACTCAGCCTTTTATCACATAGCATCTCTTTAACCCTTAATAATGCCTTTGTCTTAGTCTATTTTTACCTGATATTAATAGAGCCGTTGTAGCTTTTTGGGTTAGTATTTCCATGATATGTCTGTCTTTTGCGTTCAGCCTCTGCCCATCTTTCTGTTTTGGATCTTTCTTAGAAGGTCCATGCATCTGGGTTTTTAAAAATCCATTCAGTATTTTGCTTTTTAACTACTGAGTTTCATCTATTTATATTTATTACGCTTAGACCTATTTCTACTGTGTTAATTTACTGTTTTTATTTGTCCTTTTTCTTTTTAATATTTTCTTACTAATTTAGAAATCTTCTGTCTCTTCCTTCACATCCCTGGTGCCTTCTCTGTCTCCCCAAACCCCATCATGTTAACATTACCTACACTTCTAATTCTGGATTATTGTGGGAATATTTTCTCTTTTTCTTTGGTCTTATTAATTGTTTAAAAAAAACATACACCCAACTTTTCATTTTATGTACCTACCACAGCACCTTCTGGATTTTTTCCCCCGTTTTAAAGTACTATGTCCACTACCCTTTTCATTGTGGGTTTTTGTGTGGCAAACTTGAGGCTGTTTGCCTGAGAATTTTTTTTTTAAATCATGGCCTCATATTTGAATGACAGCTTGGCTGGACAGAAAATTTTACTCTGATTTCATTTTTTTCATTACTTTAAAAATATTACTCCAGTGTTGGCTGTTAAAAAATGTGACATCAACCTGATTCTTCATTCTCTACTGAAACCTTTTCTCTCTTAAGGCTATTTGAATTTTCTTCTTGGTATCCTTCATTTTCACTGTAGTGTGGTCTGGGCAGAAGTTTTCTTTCTCTTTCGTCTCTGGAATATAACAGGCCTTTTCAACCCAAGGTCTTTCATCTCTTTATTCTGGGAAATTTATCTCCATCGTTTTTCTTTAACTACTTTTCTCTCTCCTTTCCATTTTTTTCTTTCCTTTAGTTCTGGGATTCCAACCAAACATATTAATTTAGTGGTTGCTCTCAGAATTACAACTTGTGTACTTCAAAGAGTCAAAAATCAGTGCGCATCCTGACCCACCTCTCGGGTAACACAAGGGCCTTGGAAAAGTTTCCTTCCTGTTATCGCTCTTCTGACTTCCATGATTGTGCGGTTGTACTTAATGTTTAGATTTTAACCCTCACAAGACACTATTGCTCTTGTTAATTCACTGTCCACATGATTTTTGTTCTTCATTTATTCACACACCTTGGTTCTTCCATCTGGGAGCTGTATCCTTTAGTGCAGGTCTGCTGGGGGCAAAATGAGGTTTTATTTGTCTGAAAACGTCTGTTTCAGCTTTGCTGTATAAGACTGTTCTTGCTGGGTGTATAATACCAGGCTGGCAAGTGAGTCTTTCTGTACCTGGAAGATTCCACTTGACTGTCTTCAGGCTCCCGTTACTGCTGTTCCTTGGAAAGTACAGTCTTTTTAAAATCTGACTGCTTAATATTTTATGATTTAGTTTCAACAGTTTCACTGTATAGATTTAGGTGTGGGAAATTCTCTAGTGTTTTCAGATATGCTCTTTCTTTTGGACTCTGACTGGAAGCAGGCTGGACCCTGCTCTCAAACTCGATGTGCACCCAACGTCCAGATGCTGCACCTCTCAGGCCCTGGGGCTGCCCCAGGACTCACTCAGGGTCACCAGGGAGCTAGCCTCTCAGTTTAGCTTCTTGTCTTTTCCATGTTTTGTCTCTTTATCTGAAGATTTTGATGATTTCTTCTGACCTATATTCAGTCGGTAGATTCTCTCTGTTAAACCTTCTCATGGAGTTCTCAACTTCAGTTCTTCTGTTTTCCCTTTGTAGAATTTTCATTCTCTTTGGAATCAGCTGTGTCACTTTTATAGTTTTGTGTTTCCTGCACTCTTGGACTATGGGGGCTTGTCCTATCAGCCTATCTCAAGTCTCTGTGTAGGACTTGTGTGTCACACTTATTTACAGTTGGCTGTCGCCCTCATGCTGGGATATCAGCACACAGTACTGTCCTCCCCTCCCATGTGGATCCCTGCCTGCTGCTCCCTCCCTGTCTGGCTGGATGAGGTTACCTGCCTGCCCTGTCCACTGCCCTCGCCTCCTTGTCCCCCCTACCCCACAGTCCCACTCACGGCAGTGGGTACTTCTTCCACAGCAGCTTGGCTGGTAGTGTCTGGTACACCGTCTTCTGCTTCCCATCCGAGCTGGGGCTACTGGGGCTGCTTTGCACGATCTTGGCGCACTCCATCTGTTCATCCCACGAGCCTGACAGCACATAGTGGGCCTTGCCCTGGCTGTCACTCACGACTCCTGTCACCTGTGGACATTGGCAGGGCCAGCATAGGCACACGCCCCCTTCTGGGCTCCCTGACTGAGGCTCCAGGAGGTGGCCTTGCTTACCTTTCGGGCCACCTCTTTGGAGAAGTAGCTGTAGGGCAGGAACTTCAGCTGGCACCGGTCCTTGGTCTTGTGGTTCACAATCTCGATGTCCCCTGTCTGGTGAGTGAAGGGGTGGTCAGCGGCCGATCCCCAGGCCACATGCCCCTTCCCCAAGGGCACCCCCTGACCTGGTCGATCCAGAGCTTGCCCACGATGATGTTATGCACAGTCGAGGTGCTTTTCCTCCACACGTAGTGATTCCCACTGGCCTGGAATTCTAAGTGGATGGCACCTGTAGGCCAGATGTAGGGTCAGAGGCCATGGCCTACCACGCTGGGTCCCAGCCAGCCTGCCTGCCTGCCCGTAGTCCTAGTGTCCTGAGAACCAGCAGCAGTATCTGTGCAGACTGGGGACAGGGAACAGGCCAGGGGGCATCCAGGAGGCCTGCTGGGAGACTGTTGTCACCCCTGGAGGGCCCAAGCTGGCTTCTGGGTTGGCAGAACCCTCCTCCTCATCCAGAATGTCTTTCTGCCCCACTCACCTAGCGGCATGATGGAGAGGTATTTCCCCCGGAACTTGCTGGAGATGGTGATCTCCTGCCAGAGGCTCCAGCCATACTTGGAGAACACATAGTGGGCAGCAGAGGGCGGGTGGTGGCTCACCTGGGAACAGATCCACAGGATATGAGCATCTGCTGGACATGGCCCAGGCCTGCCCCCAGCCAGCTGGGGCCAGCCTGCCCTGTGCCCAGTGTGAATGGTCCTGTGGCCCTGGGAGCCATGGATCTACAGCAGGGGCCCTCACCCTCTGCCCTGGAAAGGACAGTGCAAGGCCATGGGAGCAGCCTGGGTGGCTGGTGGCGGGCACCGCAAGCACCGCAGGCCTGAGACCTGGGCTGGGGTGTCTGCACACCTGACTCTTGGGCTGTGAAATGGAGGTGATGACTGAGCTGTGACAAGCTGTGCTGAGGGTGAATAAAGCGAGGGCCGTTGGCCCTGCCAGGGGCTTCATGCCCACTTTCTGAAACGTTAACCTGCCCACTTCCCTGAGGAGGCCCAGACCAGGGAAGCCATTTCAACTGAGGGGCAGAGATGGACAGGTTGCAGAGCCAGTGTCCCACCTCAGCCCCAGTGGTGGTGAGGCCAGCTGTGCCTGCCCAGTGCCTCCAGCCCTTCCTTTCCAGCACTGGGTGCCCTGACCCTGATCTCGCCGGCCAGGTACTGCTGTCAACCTTCCCTTGTCTGCTCCTCCTCGTGTGGCTCCTTTGGTCACCGGGTTAGGGCTCAGCCTCTCCCAGCCCCCCCACTTCCTCAGGCAACTCCCGGACTCGCCCCGGAACTGCAGCTGTGGGCTCCAGCTTCACTGGACACCTCTGCTGGGCTCCTCAGATAGCCCGGGGCTCCTGACATGCCCTGTAAGTGACACCCCCACTTCCTCCCTACGTCTCAGAAGCACAAGCCTGCCAGCAGCTCCTGTGTGATGAGTGAGCTATTCCTGCACCTGCCTGATAACCTGTGGCCGGGGCCTCCCTAGAGCCCACCCAGCAGCCAACTCAGGACGTGACCCCAAAGACCTGGCCCTGGAGCTCTGCGTCATCACCTTCTCGGGCAGATGGTCTGGTGGGTCCAGCTGCTCACACCAAATGCTCCAGAGTCATCCCTGGCCTCTCTTTCTCATGCTCTTCACTTAATCTTTAGCAAATCCTAGCTGTTCTTCCTTCAAAACAGCATCCAGAATCCACCCACTCCCCCATCTTGACTCCAGGCCACTGTGGATGGTGCAAAAGCCTCACCAGCTTCCCTGCCCCACCCTTAGGAGCCCCCTCCGCACTCTCCCTGTGTCAGCTGGGGGAGGTCCCCATAAAACAAGTCCCTGAAGTCCCCATAAAACTGCCTCCTCTTCCCTCTCGTGACCCCCATGCAGAGAAAAGCCAGAGGCCTCCTGACGCCGCCCCCTCCTCTCTGACCTCTTTTCTGCCTCACACTGCATCAGCCAAACCGCTCCCAGACCACCCCCTTTCTAACAGCCAGAACCATCCACATACACAGTACCTGTTCCCCACCCCCCGCCCTGTGAGAAAAGCCACCCATCTGCACCCTCAACACCATCTGAAACACCGTGGATACTTGCTCAGCTCTGTTCGATGACGAAATGCACTTACTTCAGGCCAGGAACCCTAGGATCATCCTTGCCTTCCCCAGCCTCCCTCCCCACATCCAAATCATCAATGAATCCCTAGCTCTGCCTTACAAAGGTGCTGATCTCCCACCTTCCTGGTCGGACCTCCTACAGGTACAAACAGCAGGCAGAGCATGCCTTTTAAACCAGATTTAGGAATGTCTCTGCCTTCTGAGCTCAACCCCCGGAATCAGAGCAGGGCCTGGGGCACAACAGACGCTCAGCAGCAGCCGGACCCAGAATCTGTCCTGGGCGTCTTTCCACAGCACCCGCTTGGGGCCTCCCAGCACCCAGTGAAGCACCCACAGAATCCCCCGCTTCAGATAGAGATGCCAGGGCTCAGGCTGAAATGCCACTGCTGAGGCTCCCAGCCTATGGAGCCTGGTGTTGGCTCTGCCTCATGGGGAGAACACATGTCCCTGTGGGGAAGGCCTGGAGGGAGGGATGGAGAGGATGGAGGCCCACTGACCCGTGGCCCAGGGCAGGACCCGGGGCTCCTCACTCTCCCAGCCTCCACCGTCACTGTCCATGGCCTCACGGAGCACAGGCTGCTCCCTGCCTGCCACTTTTCAGCTCAGTGGTGACCCCGTGCTCTAGTCCACCTGACTGCCCAATGGTGCTCTGTAAATGCCCCTCCGCCACGGCCTGAGGAGTCCTCCCCTTCCCCCATGCCAGACCTGACTTTCCTTACCCAGCTCTCCTTCCACACAGCCCTCACTGTCCCCGGGAGACCAGCTCCATGGTGCAGCCAGTACCTGCCCCCATCACAGGAGGCCCAGCTGCCAGATGGGACCTTGGCTTGATGGCCCCTTTTTGTGTCCCATTTGTCTGGCTCCGACCTCCAGGCCGGATTGTGTGTGGGCCTTACCTGCTCACACAGGGAGCGCAGGCCCATGTCATCCAGACGGTCCAGCTCAAAGGTCTCGCCCAGCATCGGGTTGAAGGGCTTGGCGATGCGGTGCACGGTGGTGGAGTAGGAGGACACGGAGAAGGCGGCCACCAGGCACATCTGCTCCACTGAGCTGGTGCAGTGCACCGCCTTGTCCAGCAGGTGGTGGTACTCCAGGTCCTCCGTCAGCCGCTGGAGCATGGACAGGGGCTCATTAAAGTTGACCTGTGGGCAGGCAGGAGAGAGTCAGGTCAGGGTGTCTGGGTTGGGCGTCCGCTGTTCCCAGCACAACAGACCTGGGGTCAGTCCGCACAGCGCCCTCAGAGATGTCACCGCTCAGACCACCTTCACAGTGAGGCTCCTCTGGTGACCTCAAACCGCAGCCCCACTCCTCACCTGCCTCCGGGCCCTCACCACTGTCTGACCTGCTGGCGTCTTGCAGACTTTTATTACATTTCCTGTCAGTCTCCCTTCCTGGGATGTGAATGCCAGGAAGGCCAGGGTTTCTGGCTTATTTTGGCAGTGCGTCATAGGAATCAGTGAACGAGTGAACAGATGAAGTGGGTCTTCCTCATATTGAGCTATTATGCAATTTTTCTATCCTGGTCACACAGTGAAACCAAGTCTGGCCTAGAACCCCCAGCTCCCTCTCCATGGAGATGCCACTGTGGTCCAGCACCACGAGGATGCCAGCCCTGCCCTCAGCCCGGTGGTGACCTCGCTGGGGTAGGCACTTGGGGCAGTGCCCAGCATGGAGGAGGGCCCACCTGGCCCCACACAGCCCAGTCCTGCTGCTCCCCCTCTGTGAGGCGGGAGGTGCTCTGCGGGTCCCTACGTCTGATCAGCACAGAACCCCTCCTGGCTCCTTCCCTCTGAGCCTGAGCCCTCAGCTCCAGGGGGATTTCGGCAGTGCCAATGAACATGATTCTGTAATGCATTCCGTGCTCCTCAGGTGTCATTAAGAAGATGACACCCAGGGCTGCCTGTACTTCCCATGGGCCATTACTGCTGTCCACGCACAAGGAAAGCCCCACAAGACACCCACCCTGTCCCGGCACCCCGCTGCGCCCCCTACCGGCATGGGGATCTTAGAGAGCTCCCGGCCGATGCAGTTCTTCATGATGCTCCAGAGGTTAAGGCTGTAGTTGGGCTTGTCAGGGATGCGGACACGCCTCTTGACTTTGGAGGGGCCCTTGGGGACAAGCGAGGCGCCATCCAGCACCTGCCAGAGAAGCAGAGTGTGCCTGTCAGCAGAGGCCAGAGCATCTCCTTAGCCCCCTAGGCCTTGCCCTGGCTGTGACCTGGGTGCTGGCACGTGGCTGGGGGGAGAGGCAGACTCTTCCTGAGTTCAGATGAAGGCATCCAGGGTGAGGGGCCTGAACTCCCCAAGTGCCAACCTCCCCCTCGGCCCCTCTCAGGGTCCCCCCTCCTTACATTGTCTGATGAGGTCCAGTCCACAGAGCCTGTGGTCCCACCCTCAGCTTTTCTGTGGCAAACACAAGAGGGAAGGCAAGTTATTTACAAATCCTGAGGCCTCCCAGGGACCTATCCAGCCCTTGGTGAGGTCCGAAGGGCAGCCCACATCTCCAACAGGGGCTTCTCCGGTTCAGGACTCAGGTGGGGCTGAGGGA